GTGACACCAGTGACGTACACTCGATCAACTTACGAATGGAAATTTACACGAAAATATCAGTGATGTTTGTTTATTTAAGTTTTGTTCCAACCCAGCAGGGAACCGGTGCGACGGACTATAGCATTGCCATACTTTGCTGTCACTTGTCACTTTGAGGCAGTGTTGCCATTTACTGTTTTAAGTTTTTAGGCTGCATTCACAACAGCATCTTATGTATTTTTTTTCCAAAAACCATTTTTGATCGAAATTTGTCAAGGATAGATTAAAGTTTGTTTGAAAATTAAATGTAAATCCTCAAGTTGAAATTATAGGGGAAAGATTTTTTTGGAACTTAAAAAAAGTTACTATATATTTAATATCGAATCACAAATAAACTATAGCAGTGCCGTACCTTGCTGTCATTTGTCACTTCGAAACAGTGTTGCCACTGACTATTTTAAGTTGTAAGGCTGCATTTACAGTATTCTATGTATTTTTTTTTTTGCTTCCAAAAACCGTTAATTAAATACTAAATTGACTATTATATGAACTTATTTAAATTTCATCACTAATAATAATAATTGTTATATTTCAAGTTATCGCCGATCGTTATTTATCTAACTGTGTATCTTGCCTGGTGAACCGGAAACATGCAAAAAATACGTCCGACGGCGCGGGGTACCACCATTTTTCGATGAATAATGAATTTTAACGAGGCGAACAATAAACCCACAACAGTTATACTATCGTCTAGTAATTTTCTATACAAATGGACTTTAATAATTAATTTCTTATTGGTTTGTAATGTAAAATATTCGGGTTCTCCCAATACAAGGGTGTGTACCAATCGAAGAATGCCAAACACCCAACAACAGAGATTAGTCAACTTTATAAGTGAGAGGTTGGGCACGAGACATTTTTTATTTGTAATTTATTACAATTATTATTGCTTCCTATACTGGTTTGTCTTTGGAATTTTTCAAATATTACAATGTATTCAATAGTTCAAATCGCCTACTTTGCAAATGCTGACATCTTGCTGTCAATTGTCAAAAAAAAAAAATCATATATTATTCTTCTATAATAAGGCCTTAAAGACTACAACGTCGTTGCAGCAGGAAATCAATTATTTTAACGGTAAACTACAATCCAACATTTAATATATACACATACATACAAACAGGTAGGTAGAGAGGTAAAACGTTCGTTTTTAAATGGCGTGACATTGGAACATCCTTTCGGTTTTATTTTATTTCAATTCGATCACGTTTCTTCTTTGCTGATAGTTGTTTGTGTATTCAATTCATTTAAACCTAATACCGCATATTTTTTGACAGATAAACAATGTTTTTAACGTCATCTGTCAGTGACAATATAGAACAACATTACCAATGCCGCCATATTGAATCTGGGCATTTGTGATTGGGTTGTCCGATAACTTCTCTGACGTCATCTGTATGCCTAAACTCCATAAAAACCATCTGATGTGCTAGAGTGCGTATCATCGAAATCGTTTTATAATCAAAAGTAAATTCAGGTCGTAGAATGTGAACGCTTGTAAAGAGACTATACATTTGACATTTAAAATCACACCGAAAATGTCAGCTAAATAAATCATCATTAATTTATAATAATATGGGATGGAAGACTGTTAATTTATTATTTATACAATAGAATTTGATTGAATCAAAATTATTATGTCTGACTTACAAGCCCTCTACTACCAAATGATTATGAAAATTCAGTCAGTACATTCTCTTTGTACCATTTTTTTTCTATCTTAAAAACTTCTATAGGCTTGTGTGAATCTTGACGCTGGTACATACGTCCCAAAGAACAAAGTACTTCTTCGTCTACTGGTGTAGGTACCGAGGTGGTAACCTTCGCATTTACGAAATGCATACACGTACCACCGAGTAGAATTCTTTTGAATAAAAATGAAGTGTCGGCGGCTGTAGAAATAATAAGAAATAGACACACATTGTTGGAATTTTTGTAAAAATATTCGAAAAGTAATTGGAATGGAACTTTAAATGATTAATCTTCTTCATTTACTATTGCGTGAGATTCTTCTGTTTGTAAAAGTGAAATGTTTATATATATATAATATGAGACTTCTACTATATGACACTTATGTACGCCATTTTGTTGATAGTTTGACAGATAAACAATGCTTTAAACGTCTGATGTCAAAAATTTAATTTGCGGTCATCAAAAAAACCGTTTGTTGCGAAAATAACCGTCAATGACGTGTCGCGGTTGTCTATTTTTAAATAATAAAAATTATGTATATTTATGAATGGAGGCTGCTAGTTTGGTTCGTTAAATCGAAGGACGTTCACTTTTCTTTTATTGTGTGGTACCATATTGTTTCAAAGCTGACGAAATTTTTAGACCAATAAATAGATAGGCACTTAACTTTAATGATACCCTTTTACCTTATGTAGTAAATTTGCATTCCAAGCAAATTTTGACTAATGCCAAGAACCATTATTAATGGTGCATGGATATTTCGGCGAAATACCTTTTGGTCATTATAAAAAGTAAAATTACCTTGAACCTAGTCGCGCTTAATGGTTCATTATTGTGTTTGGACCGGAAATCTTTTACGGTACCCAAATGTGTTGAAGATGATGGTTCTGGTACCTGCTGAGCAAGAAACGAATCATTTTTCTAGATAACCATTGTTGTCTTGGTATAAAAACAAATTAATCATTTTGAATCCGGATTCTCTTGAAGAAACATGGGCATAGAAAAAAAGTTTTTTCAATTTTGAGGTTAGTGATACTGCCTTACGAGACGAGAATAAGCTCTTTTCTCGTCTCGTTTCGTATTTTCTTGTCAGTTTTGACCCATAATACCCAAGCAAGGTTCTAGAAAATATTGGATATTTGAGTCAAACTTTTATTATTCCTGGCGCTTGAGTGACCAAGAGCTTAGAATGATAATTCTGGCACGTGAAAGTAAAGGATAATACACATTACTACTATAGAATAGCCTTTATAAGGCCTATGTGTAACAAATCTGAAGCCCCTACCACGCGAAATCACCAGTTGTGACGTAGACAGCATGTCCTTTTTTGCCTTGGCGTACGCTGTTTGCACCACAGGTTGTGATTCCGTGGGTTTTTGCTTTATGCATCGAAGCCCTTTTCGATATTAATTGAGAAAAAGACAAAAATATTTAGTCATTCAGAATTTATGCATTGAATCTGGAAAGGAAATTAATAAAGTGTGTTTTAGTTAACTCTTAGGCTTTTAATCAGCTTCTGTCTTTGTCTTTCTATATGCATTAAACTAAGACAAACATAGAACACGATCCGTTTTATTTCTGAAGTATTCAAGGTGGCTTTGTGAATTTATCAATAATTAGACAATATTAGGTCTGTTTCTACCGTCTAGTTAGCCTTGCTTTTACACATCAGGTATCTGTCAAATCGTTATTGCATGAAATGTCATTTTTTTTGTCTATCTTCCGGTCTTTTTTCAATCGATAATAATAGAAATAGGCAGAGAGAGTTTGTGGAAAAAAATGTATCAAATAGGCCTTGCATTCCTCAAAGGTAACTGTCAAAAGTAAGGTGTTTTCTAGAATCAACCAAATCATACCGTTTTAATAATTATTATTATTTGGCTATCCTTTTTCAATCCATGACATTAGAAAGAGAACAAACGATTCTTTGGCAGAAGCTCTTTTTCAAGTAGGCCATGAATTTTCATTGGTGATGGTTGAAAAAAAGGCGCTTCCTAAAATCAACCGGTTTTTCCTAGGCGGGCCTTGTTTTTACACAGGTATCTGTCAAATCGTTATTGTATGAAATGTCATTTTTTTTATCTATCTTCGGCGATCCTTTTTCAGTCGATGATAATAGAAAGAGGCAGAGAGAGTTTTTGGGAAAAAAAATTGTCAAGTAGGCCTTGCATTCCTTTTAGGTAACTGTCAAATGTAAGGCGTTTCTTAGATTCAACCAAATCATACTGTTTCACTAATTATTATTATTTGGCCATCCTTTTTCAATTCATGAAATTAGAAAGAGAGCAAACGATTCTTTGGCAGAAGCTCTTTTTCAAGTAAGCCATATGCATCTTCCTTGGTGATGGTTGAAAAAAAAAAGGTGCGTCCTAAAATCAACCGGTTTTTCCTAAGCGGACCTTGCTTTTACATAGGTATCTGTCAAATCGTTATTGCATGGAATGTCATTTTCGGCGGTCTTTTTTCAATCGATAATAATAGAAATAGGCAGAGAGAGTTTGTGGAAAAAATTTAACAAGTAGGCCTGTGTAACAAATCTGAAGCCCCTACCACGCGAAATCACCAGTTGTGACGTAGACAGCATGTCCTTTTTTGCCTTGGCGTACGCTGTTTGCACCACAGGTTGTGATTCCGTGGGTTTTTGCTTATGCATATGCTATATTAATTGAGAAAAAGACAAAAATATTTAGTCATTCAGAATTTATGCATTGAATCTGGAAAGGAAATTAATAAAGTGTGTTTTAGTTGACTCTTAGGCTTTTAATCAGCTTCTGTCTTTGTCTTTCTATATGCATTAAACTAAGACAAACATAGAACACGATCCGTTTTATTTCTGAAGTATTCAAGGTGGCTTTGTGAATTTATCAATAATTAGACAATATTAGGTCTGTTTCTACCGTCTAGTTGGCCTTGCTGTTACACATCAGGTATCTGTCAAATCGTTATTGCATGAAATGTCATTTTTTTTGTCTATTTTCCGGTTGACTATAGAAGCACATTTCAGGTCGTTATATAATATATCAACATTGTTTGAGAGAGGTAGATTGTATGACAACTTTATGACGTCATCTAAGGTGCCTGAACACAATTAGGCACCCCAAATGCGTCATCAAGTTACCCATTACCAAACAACCTATTAACTCTAGCAACCTTGGTTATATGTACTATTTCAAATGCTCAATAGGACATTCATATATTTTTTTTTCATCCCATAGGCTCTTGAATTCTTATGTCCTATTAAACGAGTATTTTTCCTCTCCTTATTCCAGGATCATGGACGCCGACAGCAGCTACGGCGGCAGCGACACCGCTCAAGATTCGCACTCGGCTCACGAGCACAATTCACCCTTCAATGACGTCACAACGACCGCCGTGCACAGCATTGACGAATCTCCTTCACCTGCCAACCACCAGTACTACCACAAAAACGAAGTCACCTTGCCTATTCACTACGACGAACCCGATCGGAGCACTTCGTCAAAATCCAAAGAGCCTCACTACATGTCAACTGTCAATTTGAATATCAAACAAAGCTTGGAGAATCACAGCAATTTGGAAGAGATGAGCAAAAATTATAGGAGCACGAATTATTTGAATGCCGATGACGAACAGGAAGGAGGCAAAAAAGATGTCGGCATCGAGAATCCTGCTTTCGATGACGACGAACCTGTCAAAAAAGGTTTGTAATAATCTGTCAAAATTGTCACGCACACTCAGACTTATTTTTCCAGTTAAAAGTACCTTTGACAATTCCAAGCCGTACAATGGCGAAATGGCACGAAACTTGAAGAAACATGAAGAGCCAACCACTGAAGCTGTCAACTTGGAATTGATCAATTTGAAACCGGCGTCCGGCAAAGACGTTGCCGGACCGTACGAAAATGGCCTCAATGGCGTCACCAGTATTCCTGTCAAAAAAGATGACGATGCAGAAATGGGCAACCCCTACGACGAATATTTCGTACCTGTCAACGAACATAGAAAATATATGAGGTAAGAACTGTCAATAATTATTAGGTTTGTCGTATTACGGAAGGAGACAAGTGTCAATAATGTCAATTGTCACAAGATCTTTCTTTAATCGTATTCATTGAAGAAGGATAGAAAACAAACAGCTGGTGATCGGGTTGCTAAGATCAACTTAAATATGTAGTAAAATGAAATTTTATATCCCATTCTTCGTTTAATGGTGGTGAAAGGCTTAAAAACACAATAGACCAGTAAAATCGAATTATACTTTCGCCCTCCATACTTTCGCTACTTTTCTTTCGGACAAACGTCATATATATATTCATTTCCATGGCCTACTATACAAAATCAATGACCAATTATGGCCTACTAGATTACAGCATCGAGACCTCGAACTTATTAACCGCCCAGTTGAAAAACCACAAATTCAGTTTCATAATAAATCAAACAAGAAGAAATCGACATTGTAGGTATATTGTGTCCGCCAGCATTCTAATTAGGCAAATGAAAGGGAAAGTGCATTGGCCGATACTTAAAACGGTAAATAAATCGTTGAAGATGAGCCAGGAGAGACAATTTCCTAGTTTTCACTCACAGATAAGCATTCCATTTATAAGCCTACTATGATGAAATATTAAAAAACAAATTTCAATACTGAGAAATGTATTATTAGCATATATATACCTAAGTTAGTAGGTAGGCAGATTTAATCACGCAAAGGCAAATTCGTGCACGTTTCTTTGTGACTCATCTGAAAGGAATTTGCAACATTTATAAATCTGTTGCAGTTGTCTGCCATTTTATATATCACTTTTGTTATTTTGTGACAGATCATAATAATTTCCCATTCAAATTACATATATCTATTTTGATTTCTACTAGGAATGGTACAGCGTAGGCTATTGACCAGCGAGCCGGATTAGAATAGAATAAAATAGTTTCCCGCGCCTATATAGTCGCTAATAATAAGCAAGGACGTTCGGTAACATAAACGCCGTGTAATTAGAGAACGCGGTTCAATGCAATGATTGTTGGTAATAGACAAAAGAATGGGGCGTTGTATCTGGGTTTTACACTATAGTGGGCGCTTTACATATATGTATTTCTGGTTTATTGAATATTTCAGAGGAAAATATTGACAATCAGTTGATTTTGACATTTGTTCCTCTTCTTTGTGACAATTTTTTGTAGACTCAACTAGTAGGCCATGGAAATAAATTTGGATTCTTCTTTTTTTTTCCCCCTATGTGGCGTTTGGCAACAATCTAGTAAAACATGTGGTGGTAGATTTTTTCGGTCATTCAATAGATTGTCTGGTAATGGTAAAGAGATGACGTCATCAGAAGGAAATTTGCATTATTTTTAGGCATTTAGATGACGTCATAAAAGTTATCAGGTCTCTTTCAAACAATCTTAGGTCTTTCCACCATGTCAAATCTGTTAATCTTTCCACCAAAATGCGGATTTCGCTATTTTGCTGTCCAGTGATTTGTTTGAAAGAATTCACTTAATGTGTTGCCAACATTATAAATTGAAATTCCGATCTTCACGTGGAAAAAAATTATGTTTTCTGTTACGCAGCAACGATGTTGCCAACGTTACCCTTCAAAAACCACTCATACAGATACTGCTTTAAGGCTAATTCGATTATGAAAACCTGACAACATTGAAATACAATCAGTATTTCCATTTTTAACAATTTAGTTGGCAACACTTTTTATGCAACATTACGTTAAAAATCGATGTCTGACTGTATGTTGATATTCAAACATTTCTAGTAGGCCATGGAAATATGTTTAAATTCTTTTTTTTTTCATTGTATGTGGCGTTAGGCAACAATCTAGTAGGCCATGCAGTGGTGGATTTTTTCTGTCTTTTCCAAGATTCCTGATAGGTTCTGTGGTAATGGTAAACAGATGACGTCATCAAGAAAATCTAATGGAAATTTGCATTATATTAGACATCTAGAGAGAGTATTCCCCGATATTTGAGTGAAAGTGGGCAAAATTACAAAAAGTCTCACCCAAAAAACCCTGTGAGACAAAATGAGGTTAGATATTTACAAGATTTATCATTAAAATCTGCGTTTTGAATGGTCAAAATTCTTAACCCGAAATTTTGGCAATGTTGTCCTATTTTCATCTCACTCTCAGGCTCTCACCAAACTCAAGAATACTCTTTTTATGCAAATGAGAGAGAAACAAGGGAAGAACTCACTATGTGTCATTCCCCGGCGAGTACCTACTCCTTCTCACCCGTTTCAAAAATAGTCGCACTGATGACGTCATAAAAGTTGAAACTGCACCATTTTGAGTGGTTGTGAATTATCAAACTTAAATTATTCCTGGCTCTTGATCTAACGTCAAAAGTTGAATTTAAGCGCTAGGTCTATAGTAACAATGACAGTTGTTATCAATGGTAATAGTAGAAATTGCACTGATCTTATTGGTAGTGAATTAGCAAGGTTGTTTGAGAGAGTTAGGTTGTCTGATAACTTTTATGACGTCATCCAGTTACCCATTATCAGGCAACCTTGGTGAATTAGCAAATTTGAATTATTCTCGGCTCTTGATCTAAGTTCAAGAACCGGAAATTGTCAAAACTTGAATCGAAACGCTATTTCTATAGTAATATTGACAGTTGTCACTGTCAATGGCAACAGTAGAAATTGCACTGATCTGATTTGCGGAGAATTTTCAAATTTGAATTATTCTCGGCTCTTGTTGGGAATAACCAAAATTTGTTCTTTATTTCAGTTCAAGAGCCGGGAATAATCAAAATTTGATATTTTTCAACGGATTGGACTCATTAGGAGATCAAAACCACGTGCCATTTTTGCCAACTAGCCGACATTTTGAAATTTTCTATGAGGTGACACGTCAAAGATGTCAGAAAAATGTCAAATTGCCTTATGTCAGCAAGAGTCGAGTTCAGAAAATAGCTTCAAGAGCAAATTTTTGATAATAGTTGGGTTAATTTTCTGGATTCTTCTTTTTTCCTTTGTATGTGGCGTTTGGTAACAATCTAGTAGGCCATGCAGTGGTAGAACTTTTTCAGTCTTTTAAAAGTTTCCTTAAATTAATAGGATATTATCTGGTCATGGTAAGCAAATGACGTCATTATTCAGAAAGATCTAATGGTAATTTGCATTATGTGTAGGGCAATTTAAGCACCTTAGATGACGTCATAGAAGTTATCAGGCAACCCAACCTTGGTTAAAGTAACATTTCCCCGTATAAAAATGGCTCATGATTTATCATACAAACGGCCATAAGAAAATTGCGTCATTTGAAATGCAGTGTTGCCAACTAAAAACTTTCAAGTTGGAGAGAAGTCAAAAGGCGAAGACTAAGATTACTGTCAAATCCGAATTATCTCTTTCTTGTTCTGCTGCCGGTAATAAATTTGGGAAACAGATGACGTCATCTGGAGAGTGCCTAACGGAAAATTTCATTATGTCCAGGGCAATTTAGGCACTCCAAATAACGTCATGAAAGTTATCAAGGCAACCTAACTTAGTTAAAGTGACATTTCCCCGTATAAAAATGGCTCATGATTTATCATACAAACGGCTAAAAGATAATTGCGTCATTTGAAATGCAGTGTTGCCAACTGAAAACTTTCAAGTTCACCAACTAAAAGAAATTTATTTAATTTTTCATGGCCTACTAAGATGCATAGGTATAACTATCAATTGGTTTGATTGTCTTTCAAACTGGAGAAAAGTCAAAAGGTTACTGTCAAATCCGAATTATCTCTTTCTTTTTCTGCTGCCGGTAATAAGTTTGGGAAACAGATGACGTCATCTAAGGTGCCTAATGGAGATTTGCATTATGTTGGAATGATAGTAGGATAACAAAAGAAAGACGCGCATCTGTAGTGACGTTACAATGTTATCGGCGCTTGTCAATAATAGGCAATCCTCTTTGCGCTTATAGTCCTTGGTTTGTGTCAATCAATAGCTGTCTTTCTCCGTCTGTTTACGTTATATCTTTCTTCTTTCTCGAGTAACGAAATTTGCATGTGACGCGTTTTTCAAATCACTCTCCATTCTCGTCCAAATATTAGGAGTTTCACTTAAAAAAAAAAAAACATTATCCAAATGTATTGAATGCTCTTGACCAAAGTTGCCTTATAGATTTTATGACGTCATCTGGAGTTCCGGGAGTTCCTCAACATAATGCAAATCCAAGGATAATACACACTACTAATACAGGATAGCTCATCCTCATAAGGCTTGTGTAGTTCAAATCTCAGGCCCAGCCCCCCGCTATGCCAAAGCATTAGTGATGACGTAGGCAGCATGTTGTTTCTCGCCTTGACGTAGGGTGTTTGCAACACAGGCTATGATTCCGCGGGCCTTCTTTCTGCCTATTATGTTAATCAAAATTAAATATTTTTCATCACAAATTCAAATTCGAAACTACGACCGCTGGCGCAGACAGTTGACGTCTTACTTGATGACGTCGGCAATAGCGCTACACCAATATGGCGGCGATTACCAAAAACGAGGCCGATAAGCAATCCTTAGTAGTGTGTATTATCTTTGATGCAAATCTCCATAGAGATTTTTCAACAGTGAGTCACCCCCAGGTTAAGCATAACTCCGGAATAAACATAGCAACTAGACACGCTTACCTTGGAGTTAAAACCAACCCGGGGGTGAGTCGCTATTGAGAAATCGGCCCTAAGCCAATTTTACTATTATGGCACTCCAGATGACGTCATCAAGTTACCCTTCACTCTTAAGTTAATAGATTGTCTGGTAATCGTAAACGAATGACGTCATCAGGAAGATCCAATAGAGATTTGCTTTGCATTATGTTTAGGCTTCCAGATGACATCATGAAAGCTATCAGGCAACTTACCTCTTTCAAACCAAGGATGATAAACACTACTACTTCAGGATGGCCTATCCTCATAAGGCTTGTGATGTGTGCAAATTCAGTTGTGACATAAGCAGCATGTTATTTCTCGCCTTGACGTAGGCTTTTTAAACAGCTGACGACTTAGTTATGACGTCGGAAATGGTAACGCACCAATATGGTGGCGATTACCAAAAACGAGGCCGATAAGCAATCTTGAAGGTGTGTATCATCCTTGCTTTTAAACAACCTCGCCCGTCACCAGACAACCTTATATTTTTCCGTGTATTTATTCATGTAGTTCAGGGTGCCAACATTATTTCGCATATGTAATACGGGCATTATGGAGATTTGCATTATGTTTGTGTCATCAAATCACCTCAGATGACGTCATAAAGTTATCAGACAACTTGAATGACCCTGGGGCCTTATTCTGTAAGAAACGAACCGTCCGATTCGGTAGACATTCTTCGATTGTAACGTCATTTTCAGTTTGGTAGCGCGAAAACAAACCAAAAATGACGTCACAATCGAAGAAATTCTACCGAATCGAACGGTTCGTTCTTACAGAATAAGGCCCCTGGGCTGAGATCACGACGAATAGAATTCTACTTTCATGACGTCAGGTTGTCTAGCAACCATCATCATCGCCTGTACTCTATGCGATAAATAGGTCGCAGGTGACGTCACGAAAGTAGCAATCTACTCGTCGTGATCCCAGCCCAGATCTTCGACCATGACATCTATATTTTTGAAGTAAAAACTTCTTTAGGTGCGTTCATTACAAACATTTTTTCGGTTAGTGAATGTGATTGGGCTGTCACGCCTGAATTGTTAACGCTCATTCGGGCGGATTCAGTAGGGCAATTTAGGTACCCCAGATGACGTCATAAAAGTTATCAGGCAACCTAACTTTGGATAAAGTGACATTTTCCCGTGTAAAAATGGTTTATAATTTATCGTACGAACGGCCATAAGATAATTACGTCATTAATTTGAAATACAAAGTTGCCAACTGAAAACTTTCAAGTTTATAAAACTAAAAGAAATTTATTTAATTTTATATGATGACGTCATTAGGTAGTTCTCATGGATGTTTAAATTTCCAGTTGACGTCATAAAAGCTATCAGCTTTCAAACAACTTTGAGTTAATAAACAAACCACACAGATGCTTGAAAATTGCCGCCATATTGAATCCTGCCATTTGTGGTTTGGATCAAGGCTGTTTAAGAGAAAAAGGTTGTCTGATAATTTTTATGATGTTATCTGTATGTCTAAACATATTGCAAAGCCCCATAAGAATCACTTGATGACGTCATCTGTTTGCCATTGCGAGACAACCTTTTACAAGCAATTGACATTTTCCCAATGTTATCGGCATTGTCCTATAGGAAGGTTCTATTGAATCCCAATCGCGCAGTGCTGGCTGACTGTTTCTTTCTCTCGCTTAACTGAACTCGAATCGAAACGTAGATTCAAAATGACGTCATCAGGTGGTTCTCAGTTTTCATGAATGTTTGCATTATGTTTAAGCTTCCAGATGACGTCATTGTAGTTATTAGGCACTTACCTCTTTCAAAAAACCTTTTCACCATTTTGCTATTTTGTGTTAAATCTGGTAATCTTTTCACGAAATGTGGGTCTTGCTATTTTGTAGTCCAGATTTATCTGACTGGTGTGTTGCCAATCTTACGATGTTGCCAATATTACTTTTGTAAAAGCTATTCATACAAACATTGCTCTAAGGCTGTTTGGACTATAAGAAACTGGCAACATTGATTGCCATTTTTAACAATTCAGTTAGCAACACTTTCTATGCGATGAGACAAACAACAAATCTGACAACACTGATTCCAAGTAGGCCTTACTATAGAAATAACTTTGAATTCTTCTTTTTTTTTTTATTGTATAGCCTTGCAATAACCTAGTAGGCCATGGAATGTCAAATAATCCCAATTAAAATCAAAACAAAATGGGATGTAGATAAGATTTTTAACTCTATATTTCCGTCTTAGTAATACCCGTAAAGGCCGTAACAGCGTTACGTTCGCCGAGTCGCTGAGCGAGTCAACCGATTTGGCAGACGAAGACGACACCATTGAGTATCCGCGATGGATGAGCCAACCACCGCCACGGTATAAAATCAGCTTTTTCATATGCCACACACACACACCCATAGTTTGGTCCATTCAAAGTGCGTTCGAAAAATTACTCACTTTTGTGTTTTTTCGAACGCACTCCTTATCATTTATGTGTTTCACTGCTTAATTTTTAGACCAAAAAAATACTATTGTAAATAACAGCCCATATTTGCCATATTTCAGCGGGGTTAATGGGATTTTTGTTGGTGTATGGGTGGCTATGAATTGGTGACGGTATACCTGCTGGTTGGGTTAATGTCTAAGATCTACGTCACTGTTTTAAAATGTCAAATTTCTCTACAAATGTCATTCAGTTGATGTAACTAGCGACAGTGACCTTCAATATGGCCTACAGAATATGTTTATCCTCCTCTTTCTTGTAGAGTTAAAAGAAGACACAGCTAAGAAATATTTTCATTGTTTTTTCTATTTCAGAGGCGAAAAACTCTACGTCACGATGGACAAGCGCAACAAGAAAAGTCGCAACAAGTGTCTCTGTTGGACGGTGTGCTTGTGCATAGTAGCGGGCGCTTTGATAATAGGAATTTTAGCGGCTGGTAAGTGACAATTTACACCTGTCATTGTCAAATGTAGTTGGACTGATAAACATCTTTTTCCTTCTTTAACGTTGGCAGCAAAGAAGGATAAAACGACAGTCTTCAATTGTTTAATTTGTAAGGGATAATTTACTATGTCTATCTTTGTTTCTTGTTGAATATAGAAAGAGACGGCTAATTTTTTGACAGTTCTGGTAGTGCAGCCAACCTCTTTTGTCTTGGAAAAAAAAAAATCAAAAATTGCATGTAACGTTTAATAAATGAGCTTTGAAGTTTCGATTGTCACTTCTGCGATATTTTGACAGCTGCTAATAAAATGTTACAAGCTTGTCATAAACTGTCGATTTTCTTTGTGACAACTGTCAATTTCTGACAGCTGACACCTTGTCAGTCAAAGCAGGCTAGCCAACCTATAATATTTATGAAAAACCTACTATGTAATTTCAATGGCGTCCGAGTTAAAATACACCAAAAAACGTCCCCTAACATGTTATTCAAAATATTTTCTTACAATTATTGACCAACAATCCAACTGACCACTTTTCCTGCTATTTTAAACGCACACACGTTAATGACTCAAAAACAGCATCTGTTGCAACTATTATGCAATCTCGATCCATTTTTTCTTTTTTCTGCCTTCTTCGATATCGAGCCAGCCTTAATAGGCCCGCTATCCTTGAAAAGGATAAAAACGGTTTAACGGTTTTACTTTCGTAATAGATTGTTAAGCCTGCGACATTCCAACCGACGGCGACACTTTATACAGTATTTACTTCGTTTATATGCTACGCTTACCTCATGTTATTATATTCATTAGGATTATTCAATTGACCATTTAAAGTTTCTACAAGAGTTTTTGAAAAAGTTTGGCAACCTTGTTCTTTTAGCATTCCTATTAAACAGTCGAAAAACAGTGATTTTTTTTTTCCTCAGTTGGTGTGATAGGTAACCAAGGCCCGATGCAACCAAAAGAAATCACTGCTAGGCACTTTGACGGTGCCGAAGCCCAAGTAAAAGGTGCGGCAGTTTTTGGTACCGCCAGTGACCTTCCTCCAACCCCCGGACCTCCATTGAGTACCGTTTCAAGCCTGCTACCCTCTACTGATACTTCAATGATCGAAGGTAATCTGTCAAATAAAGTGTTGAAGTTTTTTGATTTTTTTTTTTCCAGTTCCTAGAGCTCTAGAGTCGGAAATAGTGATTGACAATTTGGAGTTTTCTGATGCTTTGTTGGACAAAAATAGCTCGCAATATCGAACATTGGCCGAATCTCTGGAAACCGAACTTAAGAAGGCTTTGTTTTCCAATGACATGCTCAAATATGGCTCGTCTGACATCGAAATCAAAATTATGGACTTTTTGTCGGGAAGCGTTGTTGTCAAATATCGCGTCGCTTGGAGGTTCAAGGAGGGAATCCACAACGCCAAAGACCCGATCAGTCCCGAAGCGCTCCGAAGAAAAATCGATAATGTTTTGCAACGTAATGGCGGCCTGATGGATACTTATCATTTAGCTGACAGGCCAATGGAAACTCGGAAAATCATGGATTTATGCCAGATTCAGAACAATGGCTGCGAGCATTTGTGCTTGTTCGATTATGGCAAGAGTTTGAATTTCATTTGCACTTGTCCTGAAGGACAGATTTTGGCCGAGAATGGCAAAAATTGTGTTGACTTACATCATGGGGAACCTTCGGCTGAACCAGAACCTTCGGCTGAACCGGAACCTTCACCTGAACCTGAACCTGCACCTGAACCTGAGCCAACATCCTCAAAGCCTTCCGCTGAACCAGAACCAGTAGCGGAGCCAGAGCCTACTGCTGAACCAGAACCTTCTCCATCTCCAGAACCTTCCGCTGAACCGGAATCTGCAGCTGAACCTGAGCCAACATCACCAGAGCCTTCTGCTGAGCCAGAGCCAGAGCCTACTACTGAACCAGAATCTAAAGCTGAACCTTCTCCATCTCCTGAGCCTGCTGCTGAACCTTCTCCATCTCCTGAGCCTGCTGCTGAACCGGAACCTGCCCCAGAGCCAACTGCTGAACCTGAACCTTCACCTGAGCCTTCATCGTCTGCCAAATCTGAGCCTTTAGAATTATTCAATTCAACTGAAACCGAGCACATATTTATTCATGAAGACCATCAAACTGAAGAACCGAAGCCTGAACCAGAACCCAGTTCAACTGAATCAGTCTTGATTAACCAATCAGAAACCACCGTGAAACAAGCAATGACTCATGACGGCCATAGTGAATCAAGACACTTCAACCATGACCATGTAATTTTGGCTGAAGATTCCACCAATGCAAATATTGTACCAGACGATCATACCAATTTAGACAATGACGACGAATATCATTTTGTCAATGAAGAAGCCACCTATTTGGAACCAGAAATGAAAACTGAAGAATCTTCAACAGAAAAAGGTAAAGTAGAAGCCATTACCACAACTGAAGCAATTGAGGTTACAAGTAAAATTGAAGAAGCAACAGTAAATGTTACAATCAAGCATGAAGAAGCTACAACTGAACAATTAGAAGTTAAAACTGAAGAAATTAGGCACCAAGAAACAACTACTGAAGTTAAAGCAACAACTACAACTGAAGAAAATGGCATTCCACATCTCATTCCAGTTGTAGTAGGAAATCCTACTACAACTACCGAAACTACAACAACTACTGATCTATTTTCAGACATAAAAATGAATCAGCTAAAAACCCTCGATGTAGTGACTCCTGCAGCTGAAGTATTCACTACAAGTCCTTCATCAACATTGAATCACACCTACCAGAATCAGATAATGAACATTGAAGAAGGCGAGCCAAAAATCATCGAACTCGCTTCAACAACAATGAACCAAACAACCGACCAAATCTTGGAGCACAACATGTCGCCATTTTTGCCTGAAATTGAAAACGACACTTTAGTCAACATTTTACATTCGGACGAACATTTTATCGGCCATCCGACTGAATCGCATGATTCCCTGGAATCTAAACCCAACAGTTTAGAGAATGATCAGCTAAATCACACAAATCCGTATGATCCACATCCCACTGACATTTCAAGTTTAGGAATTTTGCCTTTATTAGAAAACGAAGATAATGAAATCGGAGGAGAAGATACAAAAATTAAGAGTACTACAACTACAATAAAGGCAACAGAAATTGAAGATACGACAACTACAATAAAGGCAACAGAGATTGTAGACGAGGTTGCTACAACAACTACAAAAATTGATGTAAATGAAGCAACTACAACTAGATTGGTTGAAGAAAATATAACTCTTCCTCCAGAGATATACAATAATGTTCATAGTAATAGCTTTTTTGAAAAGGAGCTCAAAGAACCAATTATTGAAGAAGTTACAACCAATAATGACTCTAGCACTGAAGACTTAATTGCCATGGAAACTACCACTAATAATGTAGTAGAAGATGTTACTACACAACAACCTGAAATTATGGAAACTACTACAAACAACACAGAAGAATCTTCTACAACCTACCAAGTTAAAGAATCATCTGTAGCTGATATAACAACAACAGAGCGGCTGTTTGTCACAGCTAGGCCTACAATCGCTATAGAAACCGAAGAAGATCTTTCTGTAGCTCCTCTAGACAGTTTCAACAGCATAGAAGAGCAAAGTGTCATGGACAAATTCAACCTTAAAGAATACGAAAAAATAGACGACAAGGATTTGTTTAAAGTGCCTGAGAATGCTACTACAACCAAAGAGGATCCACCAATGACAACCACACAAGAACCTAGCGAGTTTGCTAATGCCACGTCAAGTTCCGATGACGTCAAGCCTGTTACTGAAGATTTTACGTTGTTTAGTTTTCCAAGGTAAGATTGAGTTTATTAAAGGGGGCGTCACAAGAGGTTAAACTTATAAAGTATCGCAATGCTGTCATCTGTCATTTCAACATCCAGTGGTTTTGTTTCATTTTGCTACTGTGACTGGAAATTGATATGACAGCAAGTTTGACTTTTCTACTAGGGACCGAATTTAGTCGTTGCTTGAAGTTCGTGGGTTTGAAATGGACAAAATCGAAATTTCCTTTTTCATTTTTTGCCGGCCTAAAGATGCGCCGCACGCTGACCAATAGAATTATAGACTGGGCCCAGTGATTAAAATAATTCTAGCCCTTCGGGCTTGCGTATTACTCCGGCCCTTCGGGCTCGCCTCCGGCCCTTCGGGCTTATATAACTCCGGCCCTTCGGGCTCGTATTACTCCGGCCCTTCGGGCTCGCGTATAACTCTGACCCTTTTGACTCGCAAACAGCTAACGACGTAGTTGATGACGTCGTCAATGGTGCTACAAAATATGGCCGCGATTCCCAAAAACGAAGCCGATAAGGAGTCCTGTGTAGTAGTGTAACTTGCACTTATCACTTAATACTAATCACTTTACAGATCCGTTTACAATTCGACAAACACTAGCACTACACACTTGCTACTTATCAAAGTGTAAACTGGCCTTAAGTCAGAGAGCCAGAGAACCCTTCTCCAAAACAGTGGCGGGTGGCCGGCACAACGAAATATTTTACCAGAAAAAAAAACACTATAACATAAATGAATTTCTTTCATTAAATTTTGAACCTAAAGGCTGGGCTACAGAACACTAATTGACGCAGTGGCGTAGTAAAAATTGACGTTTCGTATTTTTTCTCATGCAATTTATTTTAATAATAATTACATTTATTGGTGAAATTATTGGAATATTTGCTAAATATACAATTTGCCTCGGAATCCTTTAAATTCGGATAAAAATCTTCAATCCTTCAGTAGTCAAAGTTTTAGATCAAAACCCTTCATATTGAAGGAAATCCTTGAATTCTGGCAACACTGCCTTAAGTTTTCCTTGAAGGTCGTGAGTTCAGAATGGATTCTTGTTACTCTTTGACAAGTTATAATCATATTGATTCTAAACGTTCAAGGCTTTCTTAAGCCCAAACCCGTTAAGGTCTGCGGAATCCTCAAGGAGCGACTATGAACTCCACCTTGAGGCGCTACACAAGGATAATACACTCTACTAAGCATTGCTTATCAGCTTCGTTTTTGATAAACGTCAAGGCGAAAATGCGGCGTACGTCACAGCTGGTGATTTGGGGAGATGGGGAAAAAAGGGGATTTTTCCCACACAGGCCTTATCCTGTAGTAATAGGTGTGTATCATCCTTGATTTCAGTGAAAGTTGGATTTTTGTTTGTTTCGATTCTTTGAAAAAAAGTCATATGGTAAGCATTGGATTTTAATTTTTTTTTTATGCTCATTCGGTCGAATATAGCCAGTTCGAATTGAGCGAGAGAGAGACAGAGAAACAATCAGCAGTGCGACACAGAAAGAGAGAGAGAGAGAGAGAGAAATTCGATCGAAACTCCCCTTAAAACAAATTTCGGCAACGTTGTCAATATCATTGGCAAAATGTTAATTGCTATTGTAATAGGTTGTCTGGAAATGGCAAACAGATGACGTCATCAGATGGTAGGTTTGCCAACTTCCCAAAAAAAAAAAAAAATTGGTGTTTTTTTTGTTTTTAGGGTTGGCATTATTTTTTGAATCTTCGAAGCATTTTTTTCCTATTCCCGGCTCTTGAATGAAGAAATAATCCGTTCGAGAGGCGGGAATTTTGAAAATTTGAATTTTGAAACGTCATTCCGACACTGAGAATGTTTTAAAATTTAAATTTTAGAGCCAATCAGAAGCCGGGAAAATTTAATTTTTTTAAAAATATTCCTGGCTCTTGATTGACCCGATTTGACGTTTTAAAATTCAATACATTTTTAAATATTCCCGGCTTTTGATTGAATGCTGCCTACGTCACAACTGGTATTTTAGCGTGAGGGGGATTTGTTACACACATCCCTTATTTAGCGTGGTGGGGGCTTCAAATTTGTTACACGCAAGCCTTATGAGGATAAGCTATCCTGTAGTAGTGATGTGTATTATCCTTGGGCGCCACAGGCCTGTTTAAGGTTTGGCAGATCTCCCACTTGGGTGTCTCAAAGTTGGAAAATACAAGGAGAATACACACTTGTAGTAAATTTTTTGGTATATTGGTGTGCCACCATTGCCGACGTCATAACTAAGTCGTCAGCTGTTTAAACACCCTAAGTCAAGGCAAGAAATAACATGCTACCTACATTACAACTGGTATTTTAGGGGAATTTGTTACGCACAGCCCTTATGAGAAAAAGCCATCCTGTAGTAGTGATGTGTATCATCCTTGGAAAAGTCCACAAAGTCTTGAAATGATATCCTTTACTAGTTGACAGCAAATTTGACATTTTCAGATGCGCAACCGGTCAATTCCAATGCGCCAACGGTACATCAGTAAAAGATGGCAGCTATTGTATACCGGCAAACGACAGGTGCGACTCCGTTTCGGACTGTACTGACGGTTCCGATGAACTAGGTTGTACCGAAGAAGGATGTCCCAATAATTTCAAGGTATTCCTTATTAGGTGTTTTAAATTTTGATTAATCGCAAAATTTTTTCAGTGCGCCAGCGGACAATGCCTGAAGCGCCATCTAGTTTGCGACGGCATCCTGAATTGTAACGACGGCAGTGACGAAGCAGGATGCGGTAACAACCATTTTCCTGCAAATTGTATGAATCCACTAATGAAAAATTTCAGATTCTTGGTCGTGTAACTTTGACGAATTTGCCTGCAAACAAGGCAAACGTTGTTTGCCGTTTTCGTGGAAATGCGACGGCCGGTCTCAGTGTCCGGACGGTTCGGACGAGCAACACTGTCACATGACTCAGTGTCAAAACAACTCGTTCCATTGCTCGGAACAGGATTCTTGCATTCCGGACAGTTGGCGGTGTGATGGTACAAATGACTGCGCCAACAGTGAAGACGAAAAACTATGCGGTGAGTGACATTAAAGACTCTTTCTATCTTTGTTTTTATTGAGAGTTAAAAAGAGACAGCAACATAGTAGGCTTATGTTTTCAGAATGCAGCAGCGAACAATTTAAATGTCAAATGGGCGGTGGTTGCATTGACAAAAAGCTGCGCTGTGACGGGATTCCACAATGCGCAGACCGTTCTGATGAGTGGCAATGTCTAGTATTACAAACGGTCGGCAATGAAGATCGCATTTTACATGTAAGTCACATTAAATTACTCAAAATGCCTTACCAATTTCAAACTTAGATCCAGCTTGAAAACGACACATTTTCTCCGATTTGCCTGGACGAAAACGCCTGGAACGCCACCTACAATGACATGGCATGTAACATTTTGGGATATCCAGGATCTATCCAATTAAAATCAGTTGATAAACCACTAGAAATTGACGTCAAAGATTATTACAAGTTGGAAATCAAATCTCCCAAGCTGTCATTGGTGTCACAACTTGTCAAAGTTGACAAGTGCAGCACAGTTGCAAAACTGCAATGTCAAGAATTCAGTAAGGATTTGTTCAATTGCCTATTGACTCAATTATTAACATTGACTCTTTTTGTAGGTTGTGGTAGTACCAATACAGAACGAGTACCGCAAGCTCGTTTAATGGGCGGTAACAAGGCGGCAGCCACTCAATGGCCAAGTCTGACTCTGCTCTACGACAAAAAGCGCAACATTCAATGTACTTCTACTCTGATTGCTCCCATGTGGGCTTTAGCCAGCTACTCTTGCGTAGTTTCTCAGGACAACACGATTCCAAATGCAGAGGAGTGGGTGGTGTACGCAGGTAGTACCAGTTTCTTCAATGGAGCCGACAATTCTAGTACTCAAGTCGGTAAAGTCAAGGAAATTGTGCCGCATCCACAGGTAAGGACCCGAAACTTGGAATTTTTTTTGACAATCTGACAACATTGTTTTGTTTTTTACTGTGATGTTTTTACATAGAGTGTTGCCAGAGGTGGTACAATTGGACCAGGTTTGGTACCATTCGTTTTGAAAAAGTACGACGTTGGTATATTTGGTACAATTTTCAATTTTTTTATTTCGTAAATAGATGGCGTCACCAATGTAACCCAATGTGGTTTTTGGTTGTACATAGTTTTTGTTTAGTTCGGGCTTTCGGCAGAAAATAAAGAAAACTCAAAGCCTCGTACTTTAAATCGGTTTTCCTGATCGGAAAAGCGGAAAATCCAAAGAAAAACCATTGAAAAATGACATTCCAAAGCCTACTTGATGAAACTTAAGTTTTTGTTACTTACCCCCATTGAAAAACTCGAAATTTTTGATACAAAATGAAGGAAACTCAAAGCCTGGTACTTTAAATCGATTTTCCCGATCGAAAACAGCCCGGAAGAGCGGAAAATTCGAGGAAAAACAAGATAAAAACACTCGAAAATGGCCGACTGTCAAAAATGCCAAATGACATGACATTACAAAACCTACTTGAACAAAAGCGATGCTGAAAATTTCTGTTCTCTGGCAACACTGTTCACATGTCAGTTTAGTTTGACATTAACTGGCAACGTTACCTTGCCCTCTGACACGCAGTATTACCAACATTGACAAAAATAGAATCTGAACACCTGGAATAGATTCTATTTGAATTGACCTAGAATATTAGAATAATTATAGTTTTGTCTTCACTCCACTGTTTCTGAATACACAGTGTTGTCGTCATTGACTAATTTCGGAAAGTGGCAACATTGCCTTGCTCTCTGACACGCAGTTTTACCAACATTAACAAAAATAGAATCTGAACACCTGGAATAGATTCTATTTGAATTGACCTACAATTTTAGAATAATTATTGTTTTGTCTTAACTCCACAGTGTTGTTGTCATTGACTAATCTCAGAAAGTGGCAACATTGCCTTGCTTTCTGACACGCAGTATTACCAACTAGATTTTTTTATTCCAGGCGAAATATTCACACTACGAATACTTAAACGACATTGTCCTTGTCCAACTGTCAAAACCTTTTAATTTGGATCAAAACGTCAGTACTGCCTGTCTGCCAAATAAGGACATTGAACCGAGACAGCTTTGTGTACTATCTGGGTGGGGTATCAGCAAACCTGGAGACCCGAACAAGGAGCAGTACCTTCATTATTTACCAGTCCCAATTATCGACAACGAAGAATGCAACTCTACCAAGCACTACAATGGAACAATGAACTCTGATAAAATATGCGCCGGGTACATTGACTCAGAAAAATCTCCTTGTTACGTAAGTAACTGTCATTTGTCTTAACTGTCTTATTAACTGATTTTCTAGAACGATGAAGGTGCGCCACTGATGTGTCACTCCGAAGAAACCAACCGGTGGGAATTGCAAGGCGTTCTGAGCCATCACGAGAATTGCGGCGTCAGCAAACATCCGGCCATTTATTCAGCAGTAAATGTCAAACTCAGAAGCTGGATTGGCAACACTGTCGGTGTCGCTTTATTGGAAAAGGACAAGACATGAATCGTATACGAGCAAAAGAGAGCTGTGATTTTATTTTGAATTTTTGAATATTACTTTGTATAGACTGTGTATAGTTTTATAGAGATTTTTTTGTTTTTGGCTCGGAACACTTTGTTTTGAGACAATAATCACTGTAAAATAATGCAAAACTTATGTGCTCAATGTATTTCTAGTACTTAATTTTGACTCTATAGGTGGCGCTCGTATCAGAAGCACACATCCTTGTTTTTCACATGGGTTTAAAAAAGGATGACGATACTACTTATGTGCTATTATTGACACTTGCGCTTTCTAGAAGATTAACTAATTTTTTCCATAACTTTATTATAGTATAGCCATATTCATTACCAAGAAACGCTGTCATTGGCGTGCATCTATTTTTATTACCAGTAATTTTAAGTTTGAAAAAATGCTCTTGTAAAGGCAGCTTAACATTAATGGCGATTGAACTTTTTTTTGACAGTTTGACGCATTGTTTATCTGTCATTTGTCAAAAGTGCAATAATCGCTACGAGTGAAATGTAAATAGTGTAAATTAAGTTGTTATCTTTTTTCTTTTGGTCTTTTTTTTAGGTTAACCATCTTCATTATTCTTATAAAATAATAATAATAAGGAAAATTACACTCCGTCCCGATAATATGTGATTGCTAGTCAAGCATCTTTGTGCCAATTATGATTGCGCAGTTGAAAAATTTCTGACCGTTTTGTTGTAATTGGGCACGTAGATGACGTCACACATAACCTCAAGATGGAGGCGTTTTAAGGTCTATTTTTACACGCAGGCGCCTATTACGTCAAAAATCATATTAGCCTATCCAAAATACGTGACTTTTGACAAGCAAAATATGTCCGGAAAGGGTTTTGTATGCCTCTTGGCAGACATTTTGACTTGAGTTTGACAGCATCTTGGATAGTCGAATAACGTCACTTTGAATAAAATGTCATTGTGAGGTTATGTGTGTGACGTCAGCTATGGTGCCTAATTTGTAAATATGTTTTTTTTTTTAGTAATTAATGTCCAGTAATTTGTATTAAACATTTAATATTTCAATAAACATAAAAATATTTGTTGTTGTTATTGTTTTCCGATCCAACTAATCAAATCGTCAGTCAGCTAGTGTCAATAATTTTGACAGTTGACGTTTGGATCTCCTGCAACTGCTAGGCCATCTGGCAACAAATCGGTAGCTGTTATACTTGGACAAAAAAGAAATTACGGTGAGTGCTTAAGTAATTCAATTTTTAAATTTTCCCGGTTCTTGATTGGTTTAAAAATTCAATTATTGAATTTTCCCGGTTTTTGATTGGATTAAAAATTCAATTTTCCTGGTTCTTGATTTGGTTTGAAAATTCAGTTTCTCAATTTTCTTGGCTCTTGATTAGTTTAAAAAATTAATTTTTGAATTTTCCCTGCTTTTGATTGGTTCTAAACTTCCAAATTTGGAATTTTCCTGGTTTTTGGTTGGTTTAGAAATTAAATTTTTTAATTTTCCCGGTTCTTGATTGGTTTAAAAATTCAATTTTTGAATCTTCCCGGCTATTGATTGGGTTTAAAATTCAATTTTCCTGGTTCTTGATTGGTTTAGAAATTCAGTTTATTAATTTTCTCGGCTTTTGATTGGTTTAAAAATTTAATTTTTGAATTTGCCCAGCTCTTGATTGGCTCTAAAATTTAAATTTTGAATTATCCTGGTTCTTGATCGGTTCAGAAATTCAATGTTTTAATTTTCCTGGTTCTTGATTGGGTTTAAAATTCAATTTTCATGGTTCTTGATTGGTTTAGAAATTCAATTTTTCAATTTTTCCTGTTCTTGATCGGTTTAAAAATTCAATTTTTGAATTTTTCCGGATCTTGATTGTCTTTAAAATTCAAATTTTGAATTTTCCTGGTTCTTGATTGATTTAAAAATTCAATTTTTTAATTTCTTTGGTTCTTGATTGGGTAAAAAATTCAATTTTTCAATTTTTCCTGTTCTTGATCGGTTTAAAAATTCAATTTTTGAATTTTTCCGGATCTTGATTGTCTCTAAAATTCAAATTTTGAATTTTCCTGGTTCTTGATTGATTTAAAAATTCAATTTTTCAATTTTTTTGGTTCTTGATTGGTTCAAAAATTCAATTTTTGAATTTTCTCAGTTCTTGATTGGCTCTTAAATTCAATTTTCCTGGTTTTTGATTGGTTTGGTAATTCAATTTTTTAATTTCTTTGGTTCTTGATTGGGTAAAAAATTCAATTTTTCAATTTTTCCTGTTCTTGATCGGTTTAAAAATTCAATTTTTGAATTTTTCCGGATCTTGATTGTCTCTAAAATTCAAATTTTGAATTTTCCTGGTTCTTGATTGGTTTAAAAATTCAATTATTGAATTTTCCCGGTTTTTGATTGGATTAAAAATTCAATTTTCCTGGTTCTTGATTTGGTTTGAAAATTCAGTTGCTCAATTTTCTTGGCTCTTGATTAGTTTAAAAAATTAATTTTTGAATTTTCCCTGCTTTTGATTGGTTCTAAACTTCCAAATTTGGAATTTTCCTGGTTTTTGGTTGGTTTAGAAATTAAATTTTTTAATTTTCCCGGTTCTTGATTGGTTTAAAAATTCAATTTTTGAATCTTCCCGGCTATTGATTGGGTTTAAAATTCAATTTTCCTGGTTCTTGATTGGTTTAGAAATTCAGTTTATTAATTTTCTCGGCTTTTGATTGGTTTAAAAATTCAATTTTTGAATTTGCCCAGCTCTTGATTGGCTCTAAAATTTAAATTTTTGAATTATCCTGGTTCTTGATCGGTTCAGAAATTCAATGTTTTAATTTTCCTGGTTCTTGATTGGGTTTAAAATTCAATTTTCATGGTTCTTGATTGGTTTAGAAATTCAATTTTTCAATTTTTCTTGTTCTTGATCGGTTTAAAAATTCAATTTTTGAATTTTTCCGGATCTTGATTGTCTTTAAAATTCAAATTTCGAATTTTCCTGGTTCTTGATTGATTTAAAAATTCAATTTTTTAATTTCTTTGGTTCTTGATTGGGTAAAAAATTCAATTTTTCAATTTTTCCTGTTCTTGATCGGTTTAAAAATTCAATTTTTGAATTTTTCCGGATCTTGATTGTCTCTAAAATTCAAATTTTGAATTTTCCTGGTTCTTGATTGATTTAAAAATTCAATTTTTCAATTTTTTTGGTTCTTGATTGGTTCAAAAATTCAATTTTTGAATTTTCTCAGTTCTTGATTGGCTCTTAAATTCAATTTTCCTGGTTTTTGATTGGTTTGGTAATTCAATTTTTTAATTTTTTTGGTTCTTGATTGGGTAAAAAATTCAATTTTTGAATTTTTCCGTTTTTTGATTGGGTTTCAAATTCAATTTTTCTGGTTTAGAAATTCAATTTTTTAATTTTCCTGGCTCTTGACTGGGTTTAAAATTAAATTTTGAAGCCAATCAAGAGCCAAGAATTTTTAAAATTTGAATCTTTAAGCCAATCAAAAGCTGGGAAAACTTTATAAATTGAATTTAAAAACCAATCAGGAGTTAAGAATATTCAAATTTTGAATTTTAAAACCTTAAATCAAGCCAATCAAGAGCCGGGAATATTTGAGAAATGAATTTAAAAGCAAATCAAGAGCCGGGAATTTCCAAAAAATTGAATTTTAAAGCCAATTAAAAGCTGGGAAATTTGAAAAGATTGAATTTTAAAGCCAATCAAAAGCCGCGAAAATTGAAAAAAAATTGATATTTAAAGTCAATCAAGAATCGGGAATATTCAAACAATGAATTTTAAAACGTCAAATTAAGCCAATCAAGAGCCGGGAATATTTAAAAATTGAATTTTGAGGAAAAAAATCGAAAATTTTAAGAGGAAAAATATTTCTGGTGTAAACCCATTTAATTTATAAAGCTAGGTGTACAACGGTACAAACGAGTATGTTTACACCGTTAATAGAAATTCTATCTGGTTTTTGGTAATTATTTAATTTGACCTTGAACTTTTTTAAAGTAAATCAAGAGCCGGGAATATTTGAAAATTTAACTTTAAAACCAATCAAAAGCCGGGAGGGAGAATAGAAAATATTGAATTTTTAAACCAATCAAGAGCCAGGAATATTTAAACGTCAAATTTAGCCAATCAAGAGCCGAGAATATTAAAAACTTTTTGTAATATTGCCGGCTTCGAATCGGCTCTACAGTTAAAATTTTAAAACATTCCCAGCCTCTGATTGACGTTTCGAAATTCAAATTTTCAAAATTCCCGCTTCTCGAACGGATTATTTCTTCATTCGAGAGCCGGGAAAAGAAAAAAAAAATGTTTCGAAATGTAGGAATATTTGAATATTTGAATTCCGCGCTCACTTATGGCCATTTTGAAAATTGACAGTTAGGTTAGGAGAGGTGTATTATCCTTGTTCATGAATTGAGGTTATGTCTTATGTCAAGTTGCGAACGACACAATCTGTGAACGACACGTTAGAAACCTTTTTAGAATTTTGTGCAATAGTTTAGTGAAGATTTAATTAATGAGGAAAATACAACAATAAATTAGTTCATTAGACCAATCCCTACAGAAAATTGAAAATGTTTCCGTCAAAAATAATGCCAATAAAATTTTATATATTTTTTTTTTCGGAGGTTGGCAATAACATACCTGTTGACGTCATCTGTTTGCCATTTCCAGACAACCTAGTACAATAGCAATTAACATTTTGCCAATGATATCGACAACGCCGGTGAAATTTCTTTTCATGGGGAGTCTCCATTGAATCCCTTTCTCTCTCTCTCTCTCTCCCTGAATCTCGTACTGCTGACTGTTTCTCTCTCTCTGATTACGGTGAGTGCTGAAAACCACATGACAGAAGTGAAAACTTGACAATTGCCACCATATTGAATTAAATCCTGCCAGAGGTAGATTGGGTTGTTTGATAACTTTTATGACGTCATATGTATGTCTTTACATAATGCAAAAGTGTTTTCTCGCGTTTCAAAGTTTTCAACCATTTTTCAAAACTGGTTTAAAACAGTTTTACAATGACGTCATAACTTCTCGGCGCGAGATAATTTTGTGTGTCGTCATGGGTTCATCGCGAGAATTTACTATTTCAAACCTGTTTCAAAAAAGTGGACGTGAGAAAACAGTTCGAATCTTCATGAGAACTATCTGATGACGTCAACTGTTTACTCAATCGCACTATCCCTGTCTCTCTCTTTCTTGTACTGCTGACTGTTTCTCTTTCTTAAACAATTTAAAAATCCAAAGCTTACTATGATTTTTTTTTTTTCAAATTTCACTGGAGTAAAGATTTCACATTTTTCTTACCGTAAAATGGACAAAGAGGGGAGATTTGATCCCTTTTAGCTTGATGATTCGCTTTACAGGGAGCCCAAAAGGCATTTGAAATTGTAATTAAATGAATAAAACAAGCGAATCGATTTGGTACAGTGGGTTTATTCTATCTTGGTTCAAGACGTGCATGAAAAATGCCATTTCATCATAAAAACACCCACGTGCATTGATTAGCATTTTTACTATATTACTAGATTATGTAATTTGTTAAGAAATGTTTTAATTATGTAGAATTTATTAATTGATTTAGATTCATTGCAAATGGGTGAAGTGGTTTATTCAATTATCGTAAATCTCTTCATAAAGTCTTTTTAATGCTGATTATTAGGTCTCAACTTTATAGGATTATTAACCGTTTGGGGGTTTTCATAATGGGCTATCAATGTTGGCAACAATATTTTTTTGAAAGCATTAAATGGTATTGTCAGATGTTTTATGTGTTGAAGAGATTTCAGGATCAATAATTGAGGTACTGAAAACAATCTGACAACATTGTTTATGTTGTTATGAAGGTTTGTTCTCACAAGAGTTTGCCAACTGTCATACATGTTTTCAATGCTGTTGTTTCAAGATACATCGGTAACTTAGCTGAGCGATTGCTTCTGACACTTCTAGAGAATGTTGTGAGAACAGACCTGAAATGGAGTTTTGGTGTTGCCAGATGTTGCTAATTGTATTCAGTGTTCAGGAGTGGTAATTTCTTTTTTTTGAAAACCCTATAGTGTCGATGGTGAACGGTTTT